CTCCAGTGCCATCGACTTTGTGAGTACATGTGGGATCTCACTAACAGGTAATCATCATACCACACCTCCGCCACATCGTCATCATCAGGTTCACCGCCTTCTACACCGAATGCAAGGTTGTTGGATCCGATCAGGAGCGTTCTCGACTCCTTCTGTGTGAGGCCACCAGACGTGTTTTAGCCCAGTGTTTCGACATACTCGATATCACACCTCTCGAGAGGATCTAAGTTTCCACATCGTCCCTCAAGTCACTGCCGTGATGACGTTATACTTCTTTCTGCCCGCTTTTGAGTTGATAGTGAATCTATTGGGGGAATAAAAACTATCAGTTCGGGTCGTTACGACAAGCTCCACTGTGAGTAGATGGACGTGGCAGTAGAACATGTATTACTCGTTATGGAGGGAAGTTTCAACCGCCAAGACCTAGTGGGGTGATGTCACACTAAGCTGATTCACACGAGAAGTTTCTGTGCTCCGTCATGACCTTGGGAGATCTAATACATGTCAACGAGAGACCCATAATAGCGTGTTACGACATTGAAAGTTAACCCGCGATTCACTACGAGACTGTGCTGAGTGGAGCCTTGAAACTAGTTTTGGAAAATGTGCACATGGGCGACCACATGTGTTGGTGATAATATTAAAAAAGCGAGCATATATTACATCACTGTTTGAAACCATGCCCGATGCTTTGTACAAGACAATCAGTCTATCAATAAAGGACTGATGTAATCCATTTGACTAGTAGGACCACCGTTATGAACTATACCATTCATGAATCTATACAGAGTGGCCTGAAGTGATCTTAGTTCTCATCTGCCGTGCCTTATGTATGCATCTCCGAATCGGAATGCTCGCGGCTTCTGCTATTTTGGAAATCAAGCTATTGTCGGACCGCCTAGTAAGGCATATCGCCATCTCTCGTGTGTGTCTCCCGAGCGGCGGCACCCATGTGGATCTGTGATCATTGTAGAATAGTGTCGCGAGCCCCGCACATGGTTGTATTGGTATTACCAATACAGGAGGAGCCTCATTACAATACTGTATTACCAATCTGGTAATACAGTATTATTAATACTAATGGTGATACGAGTCCTCCACCACAGGTTGATAGGAAGTCTTCATGGTGTGGTATCGAGTGAATACTCACCGAATGCTGATTAGGGCCATCTACTATGCGAGGATGTATTACACTGGGTGAATCACTCAGGAGAGATTTCATCTTAGGATTTTGACCAACTCATTTTCGCCGTTGAGAATACTAGCCCTCCATT